CGTCTCGCTCGGGCGGGTGCCGGTCTCCTACGCGCACACAGGTGGGGGGCCGCCCGCCCCGCCCCGCTTCCCGAGCCCCCGAAAGCCCCGTGGGCCCGGCCGCCTCCCTTCCCGCCCTGCTGTGCGCTGCCTATTGGAGACTCTTCCTTCGGCTCTGCGTGCCGGCCGAGGCAGACTGCCCGGCCAGTGGTATAGAACTGCATCGAGCTCCGTGTTCCAGGCAGGTGCGGGGCTCCCAGAGGAGGGGGGCCGCCCGCCCCGCCCCGCTTCCCGAGCCCCCGAAAGCCCCGTGGGCCCGGCCGCCTCCCTTCCCGCCCTGCTGTGCGCTGCCTATTGGAGACTCTTCCTTCGGCTCTGCGTGCCGGCCGAGGCAGACTGCCCGGCCAGTGGTATAGAACTGCATCGAGCTCCGTGTTCCAGGCAGGTGCGGGGCTCCCAGAGGAGTAACAAAGGATTTTAATGCCCAATACATCTGGGAGGGCGCTATCTTGTTCTGAGTTTGGAGTATTCCCTTAAACACTGTAGGCTCAAAAGTTTCAGAGGGGTAGCCGAGTTTGTGTCTAACAGGAAAACCTTAAAAACAACAAATAGTCTTGTAGCACTTTAAAGACTAACAATAGTGGTATCATGAGCTTTTGTCAGCACAGACCACTTCTTTAGATGACCAGAGTGTTGGACGTCCAGAACCAAGAATAAGTAAGGGAAGGAGGTAGGTGGGGGGGCACAAGGGAAGGAAAAGGCTTCCTTCCTGTCCAAATTAGGCTGTCAGTCTAAATAAACAAAGTTTGAAAGGAAAAACTGCTTTCAATTTCTAACATTTTTTGTGAAATTTATTCCACTTCACATATCTTGATGAGCTTAATTTTTGTTTTATTTTTGTAAGCTCAGCTGTGGTATTGATCAACTCTTCAGTGTTAGGCTTTGAATATGTGGTTTTCCACACTTCTGCACACTTCCCCATTCTTGTTTTTCTATTGGGATGAGTTTGATTTTACTACCCTTATTTAAACTTTTCTTCTGTTTTCAGTAAAGGCAACAATGCCAATATGGGTAGTTCTGCTTTCAAGAATTATAATGAAAGAAAAACAGACTACAAAGGTAAGGCAGTTACTGATGATTCCTCATCTTTCTCTTTGTTACTAATCCATGCTGAACTGACAGGGATTAAAAATTCATGCACGTGGGGCAAGTGGAAACCTTTCCTGCGTAGTGTAAGATTGCCAAGTGTAACCATTCATTTTGCATATTTAAGTTCAGAGGTTAAAGTAACTTAAGTTTCTTAAAGCATTTGCCTGGAATAGGAGCTCAGTTTGGGGAGAGGTGCAATACAATGTCTAAGAAATTTAAGTGTGGGAGGGTCAGGGCTGGGGACGTAGAGGGGTAGTAGGAATCAAGGTTGACGGGTATGAAGATGGACTATGGGCAGGGAGCTGGGTTTTTGGGGGGGGTATGTAGAAGTCAGGGTTGAGGATGTGTGGGTTCAGGAATCTGCATAGGGAGCTGCGGTGTGGGGGGGCTCAGAGCAGCAGGCATTTTGGGGTGCAGGAAGCTGGGTGTGCGCAGGAGTGAGTGTGCAGCAGCACATGCTGGGTCCCTGAGTGTTGCTTTATTCTCCTTATTACTCTCAATGAGGGAGGGAAAATGATGGCTGCTCAGAGGAGGGGAAGAGGAGGAATGCAATAGTTAGTAATGCATCCCAGGATACTCAAGGAGCTGATAGAGGAGGTATCTGAGCCTTTAGCTATGATCTTTGAAAAATCATGGCAGACGGGAGATTCCAGAAGACTGGAAAAGGGCAAATATTGTGCCCATCTATAAAAAGGGGAATAAGAACAACCCAGGAAACTACAGACCGGTCAGTTTAACGTCTGTCCCAGGGAAGATAATGGAGCAGGTAATTAAGGAAATCATATGCAAACACTTGGAAGGTAATAAAGTGATAGGGAATAGCCAGCATGGGTTTATGAAGAACAAGTCATGCCAAACTAATCAGATAGCTTTCTTTGATAGGATAACGAGCCTTGTGGATAAGGGAGAAGCGGTGGATGTCATATACCTAGACTTTAGTAAGGCATTTGATACGGTCTCACATGATATTCTTATTGATAAACTAGGCAAATATAACTTAGATAGGGCCACGATAAGGTGGGTGCATAATTGGCTGGATAACCGTAGTCAGAGAGTTGTTGTTAACGGTTCTAAATCCTGCTGGAAAGGGATAACAAGTGGAGTTCCGCAAGGGTCTGTTTTGGGACCCGTACTATTCAATATCTTCATCAATGATGTAGATATTGGGATAGAGAGTACGCTTATTAAGTTTGCAGATGATACCAAACTGGGTGGGGTTGCAACTTCTTTGGAGGATAGGGACATAATTCAAAATGACCTTAGCAAGTTAGAGAAATGGTCAGAGGTAAACAGGATGAGGTTTAATAAAGAGAAATGCAAAGTGCTCCACTTAGGAAGGAACAATCAGTTCCATACATACAAGATGGGAAGCGACTGTCTAGGAAGGAGCATGGCGGAAAGGGATCTAGGGGTCATAGTGGACCACAAGTTGAATATGAGTCAACAGTGTGATGCTGTTGCAAAAAAAGCAAATATGATTCTAGGTTGTATCAACAGGTGTGTTGTAAGCAAAACTCGTGAAGTCATTCTGCCGCTCTACTCTGCACTAGTTAGGCCTCAGCTGGAGTACTGTGTCCAGTTCTGGGCGCCACATTTCAAGAAAGATGTGGAGAAATTGGAAAGGGTACAGAGAAGAGCAACAAGAATGATTAAAGGTCTAGAGAACATGACCTATGAAGCCAGGCTTCATGAACTGGGCTTGTTTAGTTTGGAAAAAAGAAGATTAAGGGGGGACATGATAGCGGTTTTCAAATATCTAAAAGGGTGTCACAAGGAGGAAGGAGAAAATTTGTTCCTCTTGGTTTCTGAGGACAGGACAAGGAGTAATGGGCTTAAAGTGCAGCAGGGGAGGTTTAGATTGGACATTAGGAAAAAATTCCTAACTGTCAGGGTGGTCAAATATTGGAATAAATTGCCAAGGGAGGTGGTGGAATCTCCCTCTCTGGAGATATTTAAGAACAGGTTAGATAGACATCTGTCAGGGATGGTGTAGGTGGAGCTTGGTCCTGCCTTGAGGGCGGGGGGCTGGACTCGATGACTTCTTGAGGTCCCTTCCAGTCCTATGATTCTATGATTCCTTGCTCCCTGAGAGTCAAAGGGAGGGAGGGGAAAAGCTTCACAGAGAGACTTAGTATATGATGAAATGGCAGCAAAGGGATGGGCCTCAGGGCTGAGGCAGTTCCAGGCAGTGGTGCCCCCCAGCCAGCCCCTGTAACCTGCCTGGCTGCCTGCAGGAAACCCTGGGAGCCAGGCAGGGAGTGCTCTCACTGAGTGCCTCAACTGGCCAGCTTCTTGCTGGAGCACTGCATCAGATTATTTTCACCTCTGTTTAGGATGCTAGGGCTTATGATTGTAAAGAAACCCTTCCAAGTTTGATAAGTTGATTATATGCTAGCTGTAGGCCAGGGGTGCCCAAACTTTTTTCAAAGAGGGCCAGATTTGATGAAGTGAACATGCGTGAGGGCCGACCATTTTGCCTGACATTCTTTGAACCATTAAAATTAAATGCAAATTAACTATTTTATGCAAAGTTTATTGCAAACAGCATACTTTTCATTTCGTCACATGGATGACAAATCTAAACAGGTGTTAAATCACTCTGCCTTTCATATCTGAAGGCCAGATGAAAAAAAATCCAGGAAGCTGAAATATATGTCAGGAACATTGTAAAGTACATTACATATTATTGGTAATAAAGGTTGTCTGTCAACTTTTAAGTTCAAAAAATATGAACAGGAACATAACACCAAGTATACATGTTGTGTCCAAATATATTTATAACTGATTTAGACCAACTGACTTTAACTGAGATTTTACAATGTATTCATCTCAATACATATGGATTCGTTGGGGGCCATAAAAGATAGATATTGCCAAATTACCCGGGGGGCCGTATTAAACCGGAACACGGGCCGCAATTGGCCCGCGGGCCGGACTTTGGACATGCCTGCTGTAGGCAGATTGCTCCTCTGTACGAGGCATGGCTTAGTTTGCTCAAGGTGAAAGCTGAACCCAAGTATCTTTGTGTCCTTCTAAAAGTGCCCATGAATGTTGACTTAATTTCCTTAAAAGGTGCATGCGGCTGTCTGTTTTCTCTTCCAGGTGTATTTATCGCTGATACCTATAATCAGTGGTGTTCTTCTGGCCACAATCACTGAACTCTCATTTGATATGTGGGGTCTCATCAGTGCTCTTGCTGCTACACTCTGTTTTTCGCTTCAGAACATCTTCTCCAAAAAGGTAACACTTCTGTTCATCCTGCTGGATAGAACTCTTAAATAAGGGGCATCGCATTGCAGAGGGCAGGAATGTATTTCCCAGTATAGAACTGGGTTTGTATATTCTGATTTGGTGGAAGGTAGTTATGTTGAGTGAAGGAAAGCTGGCCATGACCCAGAGTTTATCCTTGCCTTTGTTTCATGCCAAGAATCTTCAGTTTCCATCAGCAATGACTGCGGAGGCCTCATGTCTAATAACATATTTGTAGGGTGGCAACTTTAACATTGTCAGCCTCTCCCTCCAGACTGAACTACATTACTCCACGTCCTTCTGTGTAACTGCAATCCAACTTTACAACATGTCAATCAAATTTCTGAAAAAAAATCAGACTTAAGACCAAATAGAATATTTAGCACTTTTAGTATGCGACTGATGCCATTATCTAGAATATAAACAATTGGCTGTTGACCCTTCCAGCATTCAAACCAACTAGGCAGTATATCACAGCCCTTAGATAGGTTTCTGATGATCTTTAATCATGGTAGAAAGTGAGCTGTAGGTTCTGTGAAAAAGAACTATTGTAATTTGATCAAATATTACACCAATAAGTCATGTTTGTGCTTTCTGAATTAATTCCTCATCCTTTGAATGAAGATGATCAGTATTTGGAGAAAAGGTGATTTTTGATGTCTTTATCAGGTGTTGAGAGATTCCCGAATACATCATCTTCGGCTGCTGAACATACTTGGATGTCATGCTGTGTTCTTCATGATCCCAACATGGGTTTTAGTGGATCTTTCTTCCTTTCTAGTAGAGAATGACTTGGTAAGTCTTTGGCAAGCTTCAAAATAGGGCACTTGCTTGGACATCTCTCCTGCTTTTTAAAGATGTATCCATTTCTCAGATAAGAGGCATTGTAATTGCCACTAAGTACCACAAAATAGTGGAGAAAAAGCAGGCTATGAGGTTATGGGAAAGGCTCATTACAGGGTCACCAGGCAAAGCCAGTAATTTGTCTTACCTTGAGGCAAGAGCCCTAAAGAGGAGATTGGAATGAGCCTAAAATACAGGTTGAGATTGCCTCTAGAAATAGACAATTAATTTGACTGGGGAGATAATGTGGTAGCGTGCCATTTTACTCAGCCCTCCCTAGTAATGCTAGTAATTGACTTCTTTCAGAAATTATTGTGAACTGCATCCTCTTCTCCTTATGAAATTCTTTCTTATCTGAAACTGAAGATGAACATTTTTTATTTTTTTTCCATAGAGTACTGTGTCCCACTGGTCCTGGACCTTAATGCTGCTCATAATAAGTGGATTTTGTAACTTTGCCCAGAATGTCATTGCCTTCAGTATTCTTAACTTAATCAGCCCATTAAGTTACTCTGTTGCAAATGCCACAAAAAGGATCATGGTTATTACAGTTTCCCTTATAATGCTTCGAAATCCAGTCACCAGCACCAATGTCCTTGGGATGTTGACTGCAATCTTAGGGGTATTCTTGTATAATAAGGTAAGTCTCTATTATGAAACGTACACCAGTCAGTAGTGACCAAAAACTGTTAATATCTATTGACTATAAAATAGCCTTTGTAAAACGAGTTGTCTATTAGCAGATCAAAAAAGTTAATAGTGTAACCAAAAAACCCCCACAAATGGTCGAAGTTGTTAGGCTCTGGGAGAACAAGAAATGAATGGGCCTTAGGTGGGATTGAAACTTTGAAATTGGAAGAGTGGAGCAGTCTATTAGGAGAAGCTTGCTTTGCTGCTGCCTTACTATTACAGTTGTGGGGTCAGTAGACTTGTCTCCAGAAGTGTAAATGTAGCATCTTTCACCACTCTTAGAATTCATTCTTACAAATATATAATATAGTGCTGTTCCTGATCCTCTGAAGCTTCTACAAGCACACAAATGTGTGCCACTAACTTGCCTGTGGTGGTGGTTCTCGTGAACATAACAAAAGATTTCTTCTGATCACTGTTCTAATCTGGATTGATTGACTGTTTCAGTAGTGACTCAACACTTCTGTGCAAAACCAGGAATCTTGTTAACTAGGAATACTAAAGGAAGGATTTGCTTTAGGAGTGACTGTAGATTTAAAGATTAGTATTAGAGAAAATAGTCTCTAATATGACTGGTTTCTGTGTGAAATAGGTGTCTGTTTTTTCCAGACACATTCACTGTTGTCTGAGAGAAGTAGTTTAATTAATTAATTTTTTTTGTTCCATAGACAAAATATGATGCGAATCAGGAAGCAAAGAAGCAGCTACTTCCAGTTACTACTGGAGACCTTGTGACTCTGGAACGCCACCGGAACACTCCTGAAAAGTCTCAGAATGGACTTATGACATTTGCACAACATGGAGACTACCAGTATGGCCGAACCAGTGTCTTAACAGATCACTTTCAGTATAACAGGCAAAACTATCCAACCACATACAGCTTAAATCGGTATGATATATAGGATTCTGATAAGCAGGTATAGACTGTAACATGGAGTTTCCCTAGCATTATCAGAGACTTCTGGCATGCCTTTGAACGTAAAGCTGTAGATTGTATGGGTTCTGCAGAGGGGAAGATGCATGTGTATCAAAAGTGGTACAGACTTTCATCTTCAGTGAAGCAGGTCTGTAAACACGAAACAATTAGATCAGACACTGGAAAGTAGTGTACAATATAGTTCTTGTACAGAGATTCTGGTGAAATGCAAGTGTAAAACTCCAGCATAAATACTTGCTGTTGTATTTGCTTTGAGCCTGTCAACTGACCGCCATTTTGGCAGTTAAAGTGTGGCCAGTATTTCCTTTCTGTGATAGCAATTCAATCTTTAACCTGTGTTTTTATTTTATTTTAATGGTATGCGGCTCATTACTGTCCAAATGCAAGCTATGATACTTTTTGGAGATAGGGCTTGTCAGTTGGAGGGGAATTGAATTGTGTCTTTAAAAAAAGCAGAGGGGTAGATCTGAATTTCAAGTTCCACAGGTTTAAAACTTCATGTTGATATTAAATGTGTACTTCTAACTTGAGTTTGCAATGATCACCACAGAGCCAGGCTTTTAAATTGGTACTACATTCTTGTTCTCTGCAATAATCTTGAAGTACAACTTTTGTTTAGGCATAGAGAACTAATTTGGCTCTAAAATAATCTGACATTAGTTATCAATAGCAACTTGATAGTTTTCATTCTTTGACTAATGAAGTTGTGTAACTTTTTCAGTAGTTACTCTTTATCTGAGAAGAGAAAACACCTTAATATTTGGAACAAGGCTGTTTTCCTGTGACTGCTCTGCACTTGTTTTTTGTAAAGCTAGCTTGTTATCATGTTGAGTTGGGAGATGCTTCAGGATTGTGTGTTTTCTCCCTTTTTTTAATTGTAAGAATTATATGCTATCATATGACTTAAGTTTTATGAATGTGGATTTGATTGTCTACAAAATCTATTTCTTGGACCCCAATTACATTCTGTGTTTCCCCTACTTAGTGCTACTAGAGTAATTGTGTATGTTCTGCCTGACTTGTATGTTCATATTTATGGACACTAATATTTGTTTATATCCATTTTTCCTCCTGTAGCACCTTTCACTTGAATAATGAATTATCATGAGAGAATTGTTCTTGAGTTGACTGAGTATGTAAAATTGCCAGAAAATGTGTTGGATTTTATTTTGCACTTTTAGCATAAATGAAAGTGCTTTGACAAAACATGAAGTTTTGTTGATGACTTATGACAGATACTGAGTGTCTGTGATAAAAGAAGCCATCTGAGCTTTGATAAATAGAAACTATTTTGGCAAAGATGATTATCTTCAGGCCTCCTCTCCTGGAGAGGAACTCATCATATAATGGGCTAAGATTCTGCAGGAGAAGTGCTTGGTGCATTCTTGGTCACTGGACAAACATCAATGACACACTTTAGTAGTGGGTAGATGGACGTTAGGAAAAACTTATTAACTGTTGGGGTGGTTAAGCACTGCAAAAAAATTACCTAGGCAAGTTGTGGAATCTCCATCATTGGAGATATTTTAGAGCAAGTTATATAAACATCTGTCAGGAATAATCAGTGGTGCTTGGTATAAGGGCAGGCGACTGGATGGATGACTTCTTGAGGTCCCTTCCAGTTCTAGTACTCAATGATTTTATAAAATCCCTTTATCCCTTTTCATGAAAGATGATTGCCTTTCAGCAGTAAGATAAATTTGTGACTCCGTTCTTGATTTATTTATATAGCTTTTTTCCTGTAAGTGCAAAGCTAAATCTATTCTCAGTCTGCTTGTAGAAATTGCCATTGTTAATAGTTTCTTTGATGTATTCCAAAGGGGAGAATGCTGCACCTGGAGGCTGGGCCAAATTCAGTCATGGTGTTTTATGAGCAGAACTCCACTATCAGTGGAGGCGAATGTGTTAATGCTAATAGGAAATTTGGATGTGGTTCAGTGTTCCCTCTAAACTGTGCAGTAGCACAGCTTCACAGCTGATAAATCAGGCCCCCCTGCTCAGTCAGCTCCATGGAAGGAGCCATGAGCCTCTGACTGGGTGGGGCTGATCAATCACCTCTGAAGCTGAGCTGCCCCACAGCTAAGGGAGAACACTGATGTAGATGTTTAGTTTGAAAAACTCACAATTCAGAAATCGTTCTGGAGATCCTTCCCATACAACTGTTAACCTAGAATTGCTTTCACAGGCTCTGGGCTTCATTTCTTTACAACTGAAACTTCATATTAACATATAAAAGGAAAAAAATCCAGCTAGTGGAATGACATAATGAATTTCTAAGACACCCTTTTTTAATGTGTGCCATTGCATAAATGCAGAAGGAAGGGTGATCTTGTAGCTGAAGGCTCTGAACTGGGACTGTGATTCAGTTCCTGGTTCTGCCATAGATTGCCACCGGGAACTTGAACAACTCACTTACCTCCTCTGAAAATTTCAGGCTAAGGGAGTTAGATGCCCAATTCAGTTACTTTCAATGGGAGTGGAGTTCCTAACTATCCATGTGCAGAATAAATTTAATGTGCACCGAGGCATGTGTGGTTGTGCACCACCAGTAGAAAAACCTGCTGCTGGGTGTCAGTACTCTTAATCAGCTGGTGGCATTTGAATCTCTCCTGGGTTGCTGCCCAAGCACTCATCTTACAGGGAACACTGTTCTTAACTTCCATAAACCCGTCTGAAAATCTCAAACATGATATCTGTGCCTCGATTTCCTCTCTGTAAAATGGGACTAATTCTTCCATACTCCATAGAAGTGCTGTTTTGGGATACTACGGTATTGAGGGCCATAAAAATGTATAGAAATATCTCTCATCCTAGTGTGCCTACCACCATAATATCTTGGTAGTATTTAAGTCATCCCTTCAAGGAAGAGGAATACAGCTCCCTTCTGTTCTCCCAAGTAGATACATACAATTAAGTAAATAAGTGGCTTGTTTCCTAAAGATTGCGTTAACTATTTCCCTAGAAGGCTTGCATTGCACCGTCATAAACTAGGAGGAGTTAGGCTCATTGTGGGTGTGTCTAGACTACAGGGTTTTTTCGAGAAATGTGGCCTTTTTTTGAAAAAACTTTACCTGCGTCTAGACTGCTGCTGTGTTCTTTTGAAAATAAATCGAAAGAACGCGGCAGTTTTTTTTGACTGCGGTAAACCTCATTTTAAGAGGAAGAACGCCTTTTTTCGGAAGTGCTCTTTCAAAAAAAAGGCGTTCTATAACGCAAACTGCTTTTAGAAAGAGAGCATTCAGACTGCTTTTTCGAAAGAAAGTACTGGTTGTAGTCTAGATGCTCTTTTTCAAAAGAGGCTTGCAGTCTAGATGTAGCCTGTGATTTGGAAGGACTGTAATCACAAGTGAGGGTCCACTGCTGAGAATTCTCATTTTCTCTCTCTCGTGTTCTAATCTGGGCTCTGGCATCCTCAGTGTTCGCAGAGACACAATTGCTATAATGCAGTGCAAAGCAATGGGGGGCTCACTGAGCACTAGGCCATAGTCCACTTAGGGCTCTGAAGATAAATTTTAGGCTTTTCTTCTAGAGCAGGTGTGGGGAACCTCAGGCCCGGGGTCCAGATGCGGCTCCTGCCTTGACTGGATCCAGCCACCAAGGCTCAGTGCTCCCCCCAACGTTAGGGAGCCTGCATTGGTGCTTCAGCATCCTCCTGGAGCATACAAAATATACTACCTTCACCCCCGCCCCCGGGGCTTTGGTGTGAGAGGGGAATGTGGGGACTGTCTTTCTCCCTCTGTCAGGGGCCACCTCAGTGAGGGTTTTTTCTTCCCACCTGTGTGTGGTTTCAGACTGATTTTTCTGTCATTGCCTCCCCTCCCTCCCACCCAAAAAAGTTCCCCACCCCATCCTAGAGTTTACATGGCCTGTGGTCATGCTTTGCTAGTTCACATAATATAGTCATTGGGAATTATTTTGTACAACAGAATATTTACATGAATCATGCTATGGTAAATTATTTCTTTGAATACCTGAATCTAAGTTCCAAAGTAGTTACTGCCTGCATCCAGGTAAAGGAAGTTTCTGATACTGTTGGAACTTGTAATCTTATTAGACGTTATGAGGTTTTGTCTGAGGTGAAACATTTGTCTAATTTTAACATTGTAAATTAATGGCATTTTTAACTGTACATAAATCTGTAGAAAATAGGAAAACACAGGAATAAAAAGGACATATCTAGACAATCATGTATAATGATCCTGCTATTAAATCAAAGTGAAGAAAATACTTTTTGCTTACAGTACAATTTAAGGGAATGCCATATCAGCAGCCATTTGGAGGACCAGATTATTTTTGCAATAAGAAGAAAGCTGGGGCTCTATGACTAGTGTCTGAGATTCAGACATTAGTTACTGCAACTTTTTAAAAATTGTCTGAGTTCCACAGTCTGTCATGTACATTACATTGATAACAACTGAGGAATCTTATCCCCCCAAAATACTGGTATTACTAAAAACGAGCACATGATAGGGTTACCATATTTGAACTTTCAAAAAAGAGGACACTCCTGAGAGAGAGTATGTGTCAGTATCTACCAACTCCGGTGGTATATAACACATGAATACAACATAAGTTGGCAGATACAGATATAGATACACTCCCTCTCAGGAGTGTCCTCTATTTTGAAATTTCAAATTTGGTAGTCCTACATATGCAAAGAAACTGAACACTACTTTCAGCTATTCCTTTACATGGTTTTTGCATTGAGATAGTTCAACTAATAACTTGGTGCTGCTAGAAGATCTTGAGTGAAGCTTTTCCCTTATGGACCAAATAATGACTAGCAGAATCCCTATTTTGGTCAATGAAACATTCAGGTGTTCTATGCATTTATCTGAAACAACTAAACATGGATGAATGAAATTTCAATGCACTAGGAGTTAAGACTTGTGAAAATGACTCGTAACATCAGGTCATTGCTAGAAGAGTTGCTAGTCAGAATGGTCTGATAAAAATCAGAAAACAGTAATGTCCTAATACACCCTTCTGTTTCCTCAGTGTAACAATAGAAATTTCTGCCATAAAACTATATAGCCCTTTATTTACAAGTAGAGTCATTAATTTTCCAGGGCTTCCAGTTTTTAACCATGATATAAGCTGAAAATTGTTGTTTGTTGAAACATGGTAGCCAGCTAGCTCAGTGCTGGTAAGAAGAGTTCTTAAGATAAATGTTTCATTCTGATCTATTTACATACAAATATTTATATGTAAATATTTAAGAGCAGCTCTATGGGTAGCACAAACCTTCCCATTCTGTGCTTTCCACATGTTAATACTTTGTAGATGAATTTGTGTGCTTAGTGTTTTTACCTATCACAGGATAAAATGTGATGCATAGGAAATTTGGCACTTAAAACCTTAGGGTGTGAATTGCTCTAGAATGTTTGAAGTTCTTATTTCTACTGCACTATTCTTTACAGCTCAGTACATAACTTAGTATGACTGTTTTGTCTGTGCTTAATGGAGGCTTCCCGTATGCTACTCTTCACATCATTGGTGGTGTGCTGGTGCTCCATATCTGGTGGGAGACCGGAGGGAGAAATTGCACTGGTGGTTTTTGAGTGTCAGAGAATCTGTGGGGATTGATCTGTTACCTAGTTGGGTAGGTTAGATGGATTTTGAGGCCTGCCCTGGAGGTTCTTACTTGAATACCCAGAGGTGGTGGCCACAGCCTTCTGGGCACTTTGTGGTTACAAGAAGCTGAATAGTGTAGCTGTATGCTGAGGATATAGTAGAGTGAACAATGACTGCAAAGGCTTGGAGAACTAGAATCTTGTAGTGACTGACAAGTGGAGGTGTGTGGTGGTGGTCATCTTGATTGAGAAGTTTCTGGCTAGGTACAGCCACAACCAGAATTCTTAATATGACCCTGCAATTACCTGGGGGAATTCTGCACCAAAAATTAAAAGTTCTATGAACAATATTCTAAAATTCTGCATATTTTGTCAAAATAAATCAATTTAATAATGCTGGTTTCAGTTATTTTTTGCAATTTATTTAAACTACAACACACTAGATGGAGAATGGGAGTGGGGATTGTTAGAGGAAATTCCCAAATCCACTTTGTCTAATAGTAACGTGGCTAGGTTTCACCATTTATTTCTAGTTATTAGTCAACAAGTATATGCATGCATATACTCGGTGTTACATCATAGACAACTGTCTACACAGCACCAAATTTCAAAATAAAGCACTATTCTGAAAGGTCCCTTACTCCTCGTAGAATGAGGTTTACAGGGATGTTGAAATAGCGAACCCAAAATAATGGGCATGCTGTGAAGATGTGGGATAGCTAATTCGGGATACTCTGATATCCCAAAATAACACTACAATGTAGACGTACACTCAGAAAAATCCCAATAGCAAACAAAAGTGACAGAATCTCGCTCTCACACACATACAACAAACTTCCCCCTCCCTCCACATAGCAATTTGTCTCTGCCAGCTACTCTAGGTGCCTTAACTGAGCTACTG